GGGAGCTCGGCTCAGCAGACTCGGGCTAATAGGTAGTCATGAGTGCACAGCGATGGGCCACCATTCCCCCCCCCTTCCTGATCTCCCAGCATCAGCTTTGAGAGCTACTGCTGGATCACCATCTACCTAATGGGCACCGCTGCCCTAAAGAATGTGGCATTTCAGGGTGTCTTTAGGAAGGTGGAGCGTTGTACCTGCTCAGATTCTCGCATGCCAGGGACGGCGTCCTGGTTCTGGTTGCAACCAACAAGGCGTCTGTCTCTGCTTTTGGTGGAGTTATATTTCCTGCTGTACGCTCCCATCGGATTTACTAAAATGTTTCTAAACCTAACAACAGAAATGTAATATGTTGCAGCTAACCAGTCTTTAGATATGTTGCATGTTTAACCACTTCAAGACCAGGTGTTTAGACCCCCTTCCTGTGGCGGCCATTTTTCAGTGTTCAGCGCTGCGGTACTTTGACTGGCGTTTATTCCGTCACGCAGCGCTGTACTGAAATGAATTTTATACCATTTTTTGGGGACAGATAGGGCTTTATTTTGAGGGGGTTTAATCACCACTGGGGTTTTATTTTTTATTATAATTAGGAAAAATTACAGAAAATTTTGAAAAAAAAAAGTTTTTTTTTACATTATGTCAGGAAACATTTATTATTAACCAGTTTTTTGGTAAAATATAAAAGTCGGGGTCACGTCGGGTAAATAGACACCAAACATGTCAAGCTTTAAAATTGCGCGCACCCGCGAAATTGCAGAAAACTACCATACCCAAAATTGGCCATAGGCGACGCTTTAAAAGCTTTTACCGCTCATCAGTTTAGTGTTATCAGTGATTGATGGCCCTAAACTTATTGCTCTCACTCCGACGTTCGCGGCGATATGTAACATGTGCGGCGCAATGGTCGCAATCGTCTTTTTTGCACGTATGCGCCCCTGACGCATGTTTGCATGCGTGTATGTATGGGTGGGGACTTTAAAAAAATTTTTTGTTTTTTTAATTCTTTTTTTATGTGTAACTTTAAATTTGGGGGGGGGGAACTTAATTTTTTTTTTCCTTTTTTTTTTTCCCACTAAACTTTATTGCTATCACATACGGGGGCTAATAAAACCCCCTTATGTGATAGCAAAATATGTGACAGGTCCTCTTTATGGAGACATCAGGGGTCTCCAAGACCCCTAATGTCACCTAGGACCCCCCAAAAGAAGCTGATGAAGCAGAGATCTGCTCCATCAGCTTCTTTCCAGCTTCTGAAGCTGGAGAGTGACACAAGAATGCGGAAGTGATGTATTATACAACACTTCCGCATTCTTGCAGAGGAGAGGGGACCGGAGGGAGCTCGTGTACCGAGCTCTCTCTGATCCCCGTGACACAGCCGACATGAAAACTAATGCAGCCACCACATCTCTGACTATGCCTGTGATTGGGGGAGGGGGGGGACCTTGGACGGGACACCAGTTATGGGGTACAAGTTTCTATAAACTATCCCAGCAGAGTCTGGTGTCCCCCCCCCCTCCCCCCCATCTATTTTGTTTCTATGGCCTCATATTGGAGCGAGGACGTGCTCCCAGTGGCAAGCACCCAGCTCCTTCCTTTCCTGAGCCATGGAGGAGCGGTTCCTCTTTTGTGTTTACCACATCTAAGGGCTGGTAAGCTGCAATATACATCAGCTTTTGGTAAACCGATGTCTGGCACCCCCTACTAAGTAGCCATTTGGTTTTTAAATGTTTATAATAGTGGAAATTAAAGGAGAACTATGGAGCTTTTCCCCCATAGTTCTCAGGGTCACAGGAGGACACAAACTAGCGTCCTCCCGTCACCCTGGGCTCAGTATATAGGGAGCTACAGCTCGCGGTATACTGAGACGCCGCAGCCGGGACGGATCCCGACAATTCTGTCGAGATCCGCCCAGCTGCGTGAGTGACAGCTGGCTCTGCCTATCTAGAGGCGGAGCCAGCTGTACCCTCCCCCGTCCGTTCCGGCCGTCAGCGCTGGAGGAGCGGGGCAATCCCTGCAGGGAGCTGTGAGTGACGGTCACTGCTCTCTGCAGCGACAGCATCGAGAAGTGAGCGAGCGCCGGTATGTGTTCCATCACTTCCCGATCCCTTGAGCCGACGTGTGACAGTTTCATTGTCACACGTCGGCTCCAACTATGAGGTGAGTGATTTTTCACCCCCCTCATAGTTCTCCTTTTTTAAAGGAGAACCCCAGTCAAATCAGGCTGAGTATGGGAGTGTCGGTGCTGTCAGCCACGCAGTTGTTGCACAGTTTTGACCGTCTTAACATTGTTCAAATGCTGGGAGAATGGATTGGAAGCTTAGAAAGTCAGCTCGACTAGTAAGCAGGCTGGAGGCAGACAGATGGCACAGGATGCTATAGCGATAGCTGATGGTACATTGTGCTGTATATTATACATAGGAATACAAATACCAGCAATGCATTATACACTGTATGTATAATGTATTGCTGGGATTTGTTGTGCTCCTCTATAGCTGGTGGTATTCTGCATTGCGCTGTATAATGTACGATTGCTGGGATTTGTAGTCCTCTATAGCCGCTGCCATTCTGCATTCATTGCTGTATAATTTTACACTTTCCATTTCCCTATATTGCACACCACACTATCTATTTTTTTTCTTTTTTACTTCCACCGCTCCAAGCTTGCTCCTGTGATGGACTACAACCTCAATACAAACTAGTAGTCCCATCACTGGAGCCATTTTTTAAACTTTATTTTATTGTTTATCCGATTAACCGATTAATCGAACTTAATAATCGGCTAACTAATCGATTTTGAAAATAATCGTTAGCTGCGGCTCTAATAGCGGCTCTTGAGTATCTCACCGTGGAGACCGTTCTCTGTGACTAAGCCCATCTCTAGGGTGCAATGTACCAGGCGGAGGAGGTCCCAGGTTGTGCTTTCAATGTGCACACCCAGAACAAATACGTTTTTATGTAAAGCTGGACCTCTTCCGTGTACTACCCTACCCAATATTTATTAGGGATGCACTGATACTAGTATCGGTGCCGATACCGAGTTTTTGGGCGAGTACCCGTACTCTCCCAAATGCTCCGATACCTTGCCCGATACTGGAACTTCCGGCCACGGGGGAAGATTTCCTCTGACCGGTAGTGCCACGAGGGAACGTGGAGCCGGCTTCCCAGCCAATCGGGAAGCCGGCCGACGGGTAATGACTCGCTACCCGGCTTCTTGATTGGCCTGGAATCTGGCTCCATGCTGCCAGTCCTGGCCAATCAACATCGATCTGGTCAAACAGCATGGAGCTGGCTTCCTGGCCAATCAGGAAGCCGGGCGGCAGGTAATGACGGCATGGAGCTGGGAAGCATGATTGCCCGGGAAGCCGGCTCTATGCTAGCGGAAGTACCGGTATCGGCGAGCACCAAAAATATAGATATCGGTACTCTTACCCGATACGGGAAAACCGGTGCATCCCTAATGGAGCATTGGAAGACCAATGACTATGTCATGTGTACAAGGGCTATGTCATGTGTACAAGGACTATGTCATGTGTACAAGGACTATGTCATGTGTACAAGGACTATGTCATGTGTACAAGGACTATGTCATGTGTACAAGGACTGTGTCATGTGTACAAGGACTGTGTCATGTGTACAAGGACTGTGTCATGTGTACAAGGACTGTGTCATGTGTACAAGGACTGTGTCATGTGTACAAGGACTGTGTCATGTGTAGATAAAACCTTCTTTATTGTACAGTTTTTGTTTCTTTGCAGGTACTGCAGTCCTGAGTACACCTTCCCGCCGCAGCAGACA